TAATATCATTCTAAATATAAATATAAATATTAATATAATATAGTATAATATAATATACTATAACATAATATAATAAAATATAATGTAATATAACATAATATAGTATAGTATAGTACAATATAATATAGTATAATATAATATAATATAATAAAATATAATATAATATAAAATAATATAATATAGTATAATATAATATAATATAATACAATACGATACGCAAAGCCCAATGACATCAGAATGTCACATTAACAATGATAGTAAAGGAAGATGTCAGATGTAATGAATGTCTCTGGACATTGTTTGGACCATCAGACACCAAGAGGTTTACGATTTATGATTTCCAAAAAGGTAGCAACTCGGCGTAGGCTTGGAAGCCAAGGTCACTCGAACCTACCTGGGTGAGATCGTTGACGAGAGCAATGAGGTGCTCCGTTGAGTCGTTGGGAGCCCACCAGCTGGTCAACGGGTTGGGAAACCTTCATGAGTCCTCATGGTGCTAACGAGTACTCATTCATCAAATTCTTTGCTCAATACATTTCAACGCTTATCAAACGTTTTACCAGGCTCGCATTGACACGGGTAAGGTGACATCCGAAGTCTTGGATTTTCCTCTTTTTAGGTGTCGGACTCCGCTGACCCCTCCGGCTCTTTTCTTTCGTCGCAGGCGAAGGGTTTCAGCTTCTTGGCACTGTGCTTCTCGGCGGGGCTTTTTGTGGGGCCCATCCTGGGAGGTGAGTTGCTTGGCGCGGCCAATTGGGCGCCTTGGGCGCCTTGGGGATGGGATGGATGGATGATGGTTGATTGGATTTTGAAGGTTGAAAAGTGGAGCTGTGTGGCAGGGAGGATAAAAGAGGTCAAGGGATCGCTTTCGATCAAGGCTCAATACATCACCAGCTCCTTCGGAGAAGAAAGGTTGGTTGTGTGATTGTCGGTCAGCAACATGGCAAATTCCTGTAGTCGCCGATGGTTTCAAACTGAACCCCGTTGCCCACCTGTGGGAGTTGGATCTGTGGGGCTTCGACTGAAACTATGCAGTGGCTTTCGGCCCTCTCCTCTGGATTGATGCAACCAAGGTTGGTGTTCCCAGCAGAGCGTGCCCCGCACATTTTTGGTGGGACAATCTTCGAGACGTATCCCTTCCTGTTGCCCAACCTGACTTATGTGCCCCGGAGAAGATTCGGATACATCTCAACATGGTCAGTTGACCCCTGGTGACCTGGTGTTTCCATTACTATTTTCCATTGATCAAGCAGTAGAAGGGGGATGACAGGTGAGTATATCAGCGATAGCCTCGTTTCTACACGTCGAAGTGAGGCCACCATCATCTTTTTCCCCGATAGCTGAAGCTCTCAGTTCCTAGCTTTGTGTGGCGATATAATCTGACTCTTGGAGCTTGCAGCTTGTGTGCCTCAAGCCCGAAAGTGAGTTCCCAATTTCAAAAACCAAGTCTGGGATAGTGAAGAATTAATGTTTCCTTCAAAACCAAGATACAAAGTCTGGGAAAGTGAGTAAGTGCATCCCGAAAACAACCTATTCACGTCGCTTCGCGACGGCAACCGCCCGCACCGCATCGTTGGGCTCACACAAACATGATGATGAAAAGGCATGTCGGCCATTGAGACCAAAAACATCCGAAAGTACTGATTGTCGGAAAAAAAAATGCGAAGAATTTGATAGCCATGTATAGCGGACCAACGCAGTTCAAAAAATAACGAAAAGCATGAAAAAACGGCGAAAGTGCTGTTATTTACACTGTTTTTGCGCGGTGAGAAGCAGAAACCACTGCAAATACCATGGTTTTTGAGGGTCAGGTGGCCAAAAACACTGTAATTTACAGTGTTTTTTTAACCAACGTCAAAAAACACTGGTATTTACGATGTTTTCATTCACACCGTAATATAAAATAGCGTAATTTACGAGGTTTTTGGAAGTTTTGAAGCTAGCCGTCAAGCATGCAGAAAACAGAAAAATACTGTAAAAACCAGTGTTTCTGCTATCACAAAACGACGAAAATCAGTCCGAAAACGGGTCCAAAAACTCAAAAATCCGCCTCCGGGCCAGGCCACCTGCGGAACCGCAAAAAAAGATGTTGCAAACCAAAAAATTGAAGTCAAAAAGTTGAAAAACACGGGTTTTTTCACTTTTCGCTTGCCGATTTTGGACGGGCGCGTTCACGAACAGGTGTCTTCCGTACTGTTTTTTACAGTGTTTTTTGAAGGCGAGCGTCACGACCTATCAAAAACAGGAGGTTTTGGCCGAAAAATGCCCCCCCCCAGGTAAACCTGTAACCTTTTACGAGTGCCATCCGGACGATCACGCCCCAGCACCTTCGGTGCGGGCGGATTTCTTGTTGCACCCATGGGCAAAGGCCATTTTCGCGGCCATCGCGTGGGTCATTGGCTGCATCTTTTTGGAGGCCTGCTGTCGCTCGCTCCCGGTTTCTCCCAAACACCGATGGGAAAAAGACATAGGGCCCCGGGCCCTGTCATGAAAATAACAAACAAACAAGGGGCAGTTGCAGTTGGGTTGACTTTACATATGTGATTCTGATCCCAGTTGTATACAGCCTGTTTGGGCTGGCCATTGGTAGGGGCGGACCAAAAGAGGATGGTCCCTGACCAGAGATGGTTTCCATGTTTTGCAAGCTTTGTCTTAGCACAATAGTAGTTACCAGGAGGTGCTTTTCTTTCCACTGGATAATGTGAAAAGAATGACCACATGGCACATTGAAGATCAAATCCATCCTGCAGCATGTCATCTCATGGCACTTTCACATTCGACCATCCGTGCCGGATGGCTCAAGCACCGCGCATTGTCCGCAGTGTAAAAAAAGCACTTGGGAACTTGCATGCGCTTGCTTTTTCACTTGTGTTTTGGCCACCAATTCCGCATTGGTAGCGGAGCACATAAGCTCCGGGGGAACCCTTTGGTAAGACCTTCAAAAGGTGAACAGCCCTGCACCTTTACATATCACGCCAACTGCCGAGCCATGTCGTTGTTGGACAGGCTTCGATGGCACACGTTCTCGCAGACGCACCACGATGCAGCATCTACGGAGGGCAAAAGCGGCGTCCCACGATTCGATGGCGAATCGGCACGTCTGGCCGAGTACAGCTTCAGGGTGAGGTTGAAGCAGGCGCGTGAGAAGGCAATGGCGCCGGAAGAACTGAAGAAGATGGGGCCATTGGGCATCAGGCTCATAGATGGTCTCAGAGGGCCCGCCTTGCAGGTAGCCCGCAACCTCGCCGTGGACAAGCTGGCAGGCGATGAGCGACCGGACTATTTGCTCCAGTCCATGCAGACGATGCTACAGCCTCGAAGCCGCGAAGAAGCCCGAGAGCTCTACCAGGCAGGAGCGCAGCAAGGAGGACCTCTATCCCGACAACACGGTGAGAGCATTCCGAGCTACGTTCTCCGACGGAAGGCTTGGTATGGGCTGATGACCGACTTGGACCCCCAGCTGACTTTGCCCGATGGCATTGTGGCCGAACAGCTGTTGCAGAACGCTGGACTCTGTGCGAGGAGCTGGTGGCGCAACACTCTCGCATCCATGAGCGGGAGTCCAGACATCAACAAGGAGGACTACATGGAGGCAGCAGCAAGGGCAAATTCTACAACAAGGGATCCAACAAGGGCTACAACAAGAGCAAGGCACCATGGAGGTCGTATTATGCTGAAGACGAACGAGAAGAAGCGTGGGAGAATGCGTCCCAGTCGCTGGGAGGCTATGAGGACTACGATGACGCGGCCTACTATGGGGAGAATGCGGAGCACTACAACGATGACTATGAGGACCCGATCTACCAGGCGTTCCAGGCGATGATTGATGAGGGCCTGGACGAGACCAACCAGGAGTCCATTGACCATGCCTCCCACATCCTTCATGCCGAGAGGGAGGTGTTCTACGCCAGGCAGAAGGCGCAGGAGACAGGGCACTATGGCTTTTGGTCTCAAGGACGCAGCTATGAGGTCAGAGGCAACCTGATGCTGGAGGAGAAGAAGGCCCGCATTCAGGCCATGAAAGCAAAGACCACATGCAGGCGATGTGGGCGGTATGGACATTGGGGCGATGATGCAGCATGCCGCAAGAACGTGCGCAAAGGTGGCAACAAGGGCAAAGGACCGAAGGGAGCTACATCGTCTACTACCAGTACGATACCCTCTAAGGGCGGCAAATCTGGCAAGAGCAAGGGCCAGGACAAGCCGAGAACGGTGTACTTCACGGTCAACGAGTACGAGGAGGACAAGGCCACCGCATCCACTGCCTACATGGTTGTCAAGGTGGAGGACAAGAGCGCAGACGAGATGCTGGACGAGATGATTCGAGAAGCTCAGATCCGATCTCAGGTGGAGTCAATGCGGCCTGAGAATCTTCCACAGCGACTCCAAGATGAACACGCAGCTCTGGTGGCTCAGTTGAGTGCGCCAGAAGATATGTGGCAGAGATCAGCATCGAGAATGTGCTACCTGGACCTCTACCTGGCCCGCTACGAGAATCGACAAGATCCAGAGTGGCAAGACGCCTATCAGGAGAGATGGTCAGAGATGGTACCTGGCCACCCCCTTTTTGGAGAACAAGATCGACAGAATCTGGCGAGATGGGCGGCGAAGGCAGCACAAGGACTTCCGAAGATCCCTGAACTACCTTCAGCAGGTTCAGGCATCACTGAAGATCAACGACGAGCTCTACGTGATGCCGAACGACGCCAAGCAGAACAAGAACATGATCTACCACGAGCCGCCGCCAGAGAGCCCATCGCCGTCTGGAGTCTGCCAACATGTGAGGACAACCAAGCAAGGTTCCAACCCTCACTCACGACAGGTGAAATGCAGAGACCGTGGAGCAGTTCTGGAGAAGGAGAAGTTGGCCAAGTCCGAGCAGATGAAGACAGAGGATGAGCAGCAGTGGAAGCACGAGATCAAGGACTACAGAGGATCAACGATGACGACATGGAAGTGGACGTGCCAGAAATGTGGACACGTCGAACGTGGAAACAAACAGCCTGGACAGACCGCACGTGAAGCCGCAGCGACACCTTCACCTGCTTCTGTGAGTCCAGCCCCAACGACACCGCTGGACGATGATGACAGCCAGGCGGAGGAGATCATGAACTTGGTGCACCACGTCATGGAGGTGCAACGAGAGCTGGGCGTACACGTTTCAGTGCAGCAGCTGGACAAGATCTACGACAAGTGCAAGGAGTCTGTGGTGAGGAGCCATGAGAGACGATCATCATCTGATCGATCGAGGAGCGCCAGAACTACGTCTTCCAAAGCAGCTTCAGTGGCAGCGCCATCACCGCGATCTATGAGTTCAAGCTATGTGACGACAGACCCAAGGCTGCTGGATCAGGAGACATTGACGGCTGGAGTTCATCGAGGGCGTTCCTACAACGAGGTCTATGTCGGCGAGGTCTCCTACACCAAGATGTTGATCGGCAAGCTGAAGAGTTGCACTCAAAGACCCTGAACTGGTCAAGTTCGCTGAGTACGCAGAGAAGCGCAAGGAGCAGTCATCAGGATCAGAAGCCTATGCCGTGAACTATGGCGGCAACATGGACGACAAGGTTTTGGCAGTCTTGGACACCGGCTGCAACAACACGTGCCACGGTGACAGATGGATGGCAAGATTCCACCAGATGTATGGAATGATGCCTGCCGCCGAACCAGCCGATGGAAGGTTCAAAGGAGTTGGAGGACGAGTGTCGGTGACTTGCAAAAGGACGATCCCTGTGCACATGAAGTCTCGACCAGGAGTACATCCCCGGCACCATCACTTCCATTGAGCTGGAGGACAGCGATGTGCCTCTACTTTTGAGCTCAGGAGCACAGAAGACTTTGGGATTGGTGATCGACATGGGCAAGCACACAGCCTACAGCAGGAACTTGGACCGCGAGCTGGAGCTCTTGGACTACAATGGTCTTCCTGCTGTGCGACTACATCCTGGAGAAGTTCGACCCGGCAGCATCGCTATGACCGCCACTGTGGATGAGAACATGACTGACCCCAACGACACCACGGAGTATGTCATTGTGCCTGACGATGACGAGACGATTGAGGAGCAGCAGCGAGAGGAGAAGCGGCGAGAGGAGACGATCGAGAAGGCAGAAGTGCGACACATACCAGCAGTGGAAGGCAGTGTCAAGGTCCTCAACAAGAAACAGAAGAAGCACTTGCAGGAGACCCTAGAGTAGAGGATATGGAGAAGGAGGACTGCACACTGTGGAGCACGCTGAGCAGAGAAAACAAGAGGCCTTTGAGGATGCTACCCAAGGGCTGCAAGACGTTTCTCATGGAGCTCTTTGCAGGAGCTGCGACATTGAGCTACATGGCAGTTCACATGGGTTTCAGCATCTCATCACCCGTCGACGTCATCTATGACAACCGCTATGACCTCTTGCAGAAGGCTAACCGAGACAAGATTGACCGGATGATCGAGGAGGACGATCCCTTTCTGCTCTCCATGAGCCCCGTCTGCGGACCTTGGAGCTCTTGGCAAAATGTCAGCATGAGCAAGTCTGAGGAGCTCTACAACAAGATCATGGCCGACCGCCAAAGCTGGTATCCAGTGCTCAAATGGCTGGCTGGAGTGGTGCGCAAGCGGATTGAGAAAGGCAGAGAGATCGTGCTGGAAAACCCTTGGCCATCATTGCTGTGGAAGCTACGCTTCATGGAGGACCTCTACACGGAGCCACTCATACATCCAGTCACAGGAGGACCTGTTGAACTTTGCAGACTGGATCAATGCATGTTTGGACTTGAAGGAGAATCTGGACTTCCTCATCAGAAGGCCACTGGGATGCTTCTATCGTCAGGCGAGATGAAGAAGTACCTGACGACCCGGTGTGACAAAAGCCACGACCATGAACCCTTGGAAGGAGGCCAGAGGACGAAGCGAGCACAACAATGGCCAGAGGATCTCTGTTTTGCGATCATGTACGGAGCCCAGGAGGAGTTGCGCAAGCAAGTTTTGAAGCTAGGTTTTTCCATGGAGTATGAGCAGGAAGAGCGAGAGGAGCAAGGACCACTGGATGCAATCAACAACATGGACGACGTGAGTGAGATGCCATGGAAGAGAAGGAGGATTGACCTACAGGAGTTGGATAGAGAGAAAGACTATGAGGAATATGCGCTGGACAAGGAGGAGGAGCTGGTCGCGCAGAAAGAACGAGATCGACGACAAGGATGACTACAAATCACCAAGGACCAGCGAGTGGCCATACGACGTTTTTGCACACCATGATGGGCCACTGTTCCAACCAGGCACTCATTCGACTTCTACGTGCATCCATGGTGGACAAGAAAGTGATTGCGGCAGCTCAACATTTCAGATGCCCCAGTTGTGATGAGGTCAAGAAGGTTGAGCAACCACATGAAACACGACCACCAACTCAGGTTCAACCACGAGGTGTCCATCGATGTGTTTGAGATTCATGACTGCAAAGGAGGACGACACGCAATTCTCAGCATGGTGGACATGGCTATACCCGCTATCACATAGCAGCTCGGGTAGGAGGAGGTGGAACTCCCTCATCTCACGTTTGCGCCGAAGCCCTGAGCCTCTCTTGGATCACACCTTTTGGAGCCCCAACGGTGCTGGTGAGCGACCAAGGAGTTCACAATAGAGGCAAGCTCAACAGTCTTCTACAAGGACATGGAGTTGAGGTGAGGAGGACAGGAGTTCAGGCAGCTTTCCAACTTGGAACTGGCGAGCGCCAGGGTGGCATTCTGAAAGAGATGATGAACCGAGCGACCCACAGCAAACAACTTTGGGGAGCCGAGATGATTTCCGCACTTTGCGCTGAATCAGCTCGCACCAAGAACGTCATGCTGAACAGCTCTGGCTATTCCCCAGCGCAATGGGTGCTCGGACAAACTCCAGAAGATGCCACTAGCCTCACTGGACAATCCTTTGATGCCAACATGGGCGCGCACCAGAAGCGCGTGGACCTTGAGGAGGAGCCGCCTACGCACGAGACCTTCATGCGGCAGTTGCTGATGAGACAGGCTGCGAAGGAGGCTTTCCTCGACGTGGATTCGTGCAACAAGGTGCGCAAGGCATTGCTGAGGAAGAGTGTCCCTATGAGAGGCCCATATCGAGTTGGAAACCTTCTCAACTTCCACCGCAAGGGCAAGTGGTACGGACCAGCAAGGATGCTGGGATATCAAGGGACTTCATCAATCTGGCTGCTACATGGAGGAGTTACACTACTGGTGCCAGAGACTTCATGCCGTCCCACATCTGCAGAGGAGATTCACAAGAAGAACATCCTGGAGCTACGCCCCAGTCGCAAACGAGGACGAGAGCTGGTGGCGGAGGATGAGGACATCTACATTGAGGACTACATTCCCTTTGCGGCGGACGGAGATGGACGACTTCGAGATCCACACGCCTACCGATATTGCCGAGTCCATCGTGCCATCACCATCAATTCTCAGTGATTTGAGCGGCCAAGATGGAAGAGAGCCCGGAGACCACTGACAGTCTGAAGTGACTTCCCCCCATCCAGCAGGACCACCTGTGGCCTTGGGACCGCCACAACCACCACCAGGACCCAACAAGCATCAGAATCTACTCCTTTGACGAATGCGATGCGAGTGAGCCCTGCGAGACTGGATGGAGACCCACGTGCCTTTCACACAGAGGAGGAGATCACAGCCTTGAAGAAGGAGAAGGACATGATTGCCTTCCTAGCCAGCCGACGAGCGAAGCAGGTAGCAACAAGGACGAGGAGGTACCAGAAGAAAAACCCAAAAGCAGGAGCCGGCAGAGAGGTCACCTACGAGAAGGAGCCGCCGGACATCCAGGGGAAGATGCGTGCAGCGCGAGAGAAGGAATGGGCCAACTGGCAGAAGTACACCAATGGCAAATGGATCACGGAGGCTGAGTTCAAGGAGATGCAGAGGAAAGATCCGAAGCTGAAAGCCATTCCTACGCGCTGGGTGGAAACAAACAAAGCTGAGATTGGGGAGCCAGCGGTGATGAAATCAAGGATTGTGGTGCGCGGTGACTTGGAGGATTCTTCCAAGATGAGGACTGACTCGCCAACCGTCAGTCAGGTGATGATCGCCACCACCATGTGCCTGGCCGCTTGCCGCGACACGGACGTTTGGGCAGGCGACATCTCAGCGGCATTTCTTCAAGGATCCGCCATGGACAGAACCCTGGTCCTCAAGATGCCCAAAGGTCCACCCGGAGGAGATCCACCAGGTGATTACTATGTGGTGACATCCACCGTCTATGGAACTAAGGATGCGCCCAAGGGCTGGTACAAGAACCTTCATCAAACGATGATTCAGAAAGGCTTCAAAGCAGTTCCACATGAAGCCGCAGCCTACAGCCTGGTGAACGACAAGGGCGAGCTCGAGGGCTTAGCGATCGTTCACGGTGATGATTTGCTATGGACCGGAGGAGCCGAGGTGGAGAGAAGGATGCAAGAGGTTTGCGATGTGTATAAGTTCGGCAAGGTGGAGAAGAACGTCTTCAAGTATTGTGGACGTGACGTTGTCAAGGACAAGGATGGAATCCACATCACATGCCCGAACTTGATTGACCGCATTCGGCCTATCTATATGACGGCGGAGGAGCGCAAGAAGAAGGAGGCAAAGATTACGGAGGTGCACAGGCAGCAGCTGAGGAGCATCATTGGATCTCTTGCATGGCTGGCACGCGTATGTCGACCAGACCTGGCCTACGCTGTGAGCAAGCTCCAATCCAATGTGCACACCGCCACCTTCGAGGACATCGGCTATGCCAATACGGTCATTGCCATCGCCCACAAGACCAAGACCGCAGGAATCCATTATCCTCTTCAAGCATTTCGCTTCGAGGATGCGGTGATCAGTGGTCTACAGGATTCAAGCTTCGCCAACGACGGCATCAATGCCGGGCAGATGGTCCGTCAGCAACGGGTCACCAACCTCTTCTGCTTGAAGCCTCCATATCTGTTGCCTCACTCCACTCAGATCGATCGCCAGCCTCTTGTCCCCAACAGTGTG